ACACCTCTCTCTCTCTCTCCTCCACCGCCACCGCCACCACCGCCACCTTCTCTTCTTCTCTTCATTTTCTGGCGACATGTCAGCTTTCTCTGTGAAATTCCTTCCACCCAATTCATTTCTCACTCCCAAAACCAATATCACCGCCACCAGGCTCTATGCGAATCCCTCACAAACCGCCGTGCCTGCTCCGGCTCAGGCGCCGGAGGACGTCACTGCCGAGAGACGCGAACCCAGAGTGGAACAAAAAGATGGATTCTTTGTGCTCAAGGAGAAGTTCCGGCAAGGCATTAATCCACAAGAAAAGGTGAAGATTGCTGCGGAACCCATGAAACTGTTCATGGAAAATGGGATTGAAGATCTTGCAAAAATCCCATTCGAGGAAATCGATAAATCTAAGGATACTAAAGACGATGTTGATGTTAGACTCAAATGGCTTGGTCTGTTTCATAGAAGGAAGCATCAATGTAAGCCCCTTTTTCAAATCTTTAGTCTTCCTGTTCGTACCTTTTTACTTTCTAATGAATTTTCAAGATTCCAACTTTGATTAATCAGTTCATAACACCATAAAAATCGAAGCTTTCAGTTCAAAACCTATTATTCTTGGAATCTTTAGATCGAACAAGAAGATACCCAATGATCTTAGATTCTCATATCATATGATAATATTAATAACCTCTAATCTTGTCATTAATGGCGGTGTGATGCGCAGATGGTCGGTTTATGATGAGATTGAAGCTCCCGAATGGCGTAACCACGAGTGCTCAAACCCGATATTTGGCTAGTGTCATTCGAGAGTACGGCGAGCACGGCTGTGCCGACGTTACCACCCGCCAAAACTGGCAAATCCGCGGCGTAACCCTACCTGATGTTCCGGCAATTCTAAAGGGTCTCGATGAAGTTGGTTTAACAAGTCTTCAGAGCGGTATGGATAACGTTAGGAACCCTGTTGGGAATCCGCTTGCAGGGATCGATCCTCATGAGATCGTAGATACGAGATCTTATACGAACTTATTATCGCAATTCATCACAGCCAATTCGCGAGGGAATCCTGCTTTCACCAACTTGTAATATTCCTGAATTCTGGAACGCTTGAATTATGCTTTATGGTTGTAAAATATTTTATACAGATTCACATGTGAATGGTTTTTTGTAGGCCAAGGAAGTGGAATGTGTGTGTGATTGGTTCACATGATCTTTACGAGCATCCTCATATCAACGATCTAGCGTATATGCCGGCCACGAAGAATGGTCGGTTCGGGTTCAATTTGTTAGTAGGAGGATTCTTTAGCCCGAAGCGATGTGCAGAGGCGATTCCTCTTGATGCTTGGGTACCAGCCGAAGATGTCGTCCCCGTTTGTGGAGCGATTCTCGAGGCTTATCGTGATCTTGGTACACGAGGGAACCGGCAAAAGACTAGAATGATGTGGTTAATCGATGAACTGGTATACCATCTTCTTTAATCTTTAACTAACACTATAACTAAGTTGATCGATTTTGGACGTCTTCACAAGTTTTTAGAACGTTTTTGAAAATAAAATTTTCTGTTAGTCTTTATATATTACATTTTCTTGAAGTGTCTGAGTAAAAATAAGAGTCGAGTTATAAAAATGAGTGGAGGTTCAAACGAGAAAACTTTCATTTAAAAAGACGTGTGATAGTATCCTTATCACATATGATGATACAAGTACAGTGGTGGACGGGCAGCTGGGCCACGACCTATGTTGTGTTAAAGGTCATTCGCTTCTCTGATTTAATATCACATGTGATTGACTATATTAAACTGATGTTTTTGCGTTTTTGTAAAATGAATATGTTCTCGTCTGAACCTTTTCCTGTTAAAAAATGTCCTAAAAAACTTGTAAAAATGTCCGAATACATTTTTACGTTTTAAACTTTTGTTGGTGTTTGCAGGGTGTAGAAGGGTTTAGATCAGAAGTTGTGAAGAGAATGCCAGAACAAATGTTGGAGAGATCATCTTCAGAAGATCTTGTTGAACAAAAATGGGAGAGAAGGGACTACTTCGGCGTGCACCCACAGAAACAAGAAGGCCTCAGCTTTGTGGGCATTCACATTCCCGTGGGTCGTGTCCAAGCCGATGACATGGACGAGTTGGCACGGTTAGCCGACGAGTACGGCTCCGGAGAGCTTCGGCTAACCGTGGAACAAAACATCATAATTCCAAACATAGACAACTCAAAAGTCAAAGCTTTGCTCGACGAGCCTCTTTTGAAGGACAAGTTTTTGCCCGAGCCACCGATCCTAATGAAAGGATTGGTGGCTTGCACGGGCAACCAGTTCTGCGGGCAAGCCATAATCGAGACAAAAGCTCGCGCTTTGAAGGTTACAGAAGAAGTGGGGAGACTTGTTTCTGTAACGCGTCCGGTGCGAATGCACTGGACGGGCTGCCCGAACACATGCGGGCAGGTTCAGGTGGCGGATATCGGGTTTATGGGATGCATGACTCGGGACGAAAACGGGAAGGTCGTCGAAGGTGCTGATGTTTTCTTGGGGGGTAGAATTGGAAGTGACTCACATTTGGGGGAGATTTACAAGAAGGGTGTCCCGTGTAAGGACTTGGTGCCTGTGGTTGTGGACATTTTGGTAAACCAGTTTGGTGCTGTTCCAAGAGAAAGAGAAGAGGGGGAAGAATGAAAAGAATATTGGTGTACAGGTAAAAAGTGTACATCTAAATGAAATGCAGGGACTGAAAGTGAAAGTTCACACATATATCTTTTATTTTTGCTAATTCAATAATTTTGTAGTAATAATATGTAAAAGTTGGGGATTCATATGACACAATATACCATTCCCCAATTTAACCTTTTGATTTGATTTTATCTCTCATTAATAAATTACTATTTGCATTAAAAAATATATAAATATAAATCTTTTTGTAATCTAAAAATGACACGTGGAATATAAAAGAAAAGATTACCTAATTAAAAAGAGAAAATAAGTGTTTAAGCATTAAAACATTAGTGCGTATCAATTTGTCATTTAACCAAAAAGAAGATCAATGCAAGATAAAGCCAACTAGTAGTTTGACAAACATTACTACTGACAAGCCGAATTTTAGAGTTCAAACTTGTCTAGCAAATTTGGCTCACTAATTCCTACAACACTCATCCTAGTATGAGAACATGCTCAACATGTCAGTTAGAGTAAGTTCTAAATACTATTTTATATTTGTCATATGTGCTTTATTGCTCCCTCGGCATACACAATGATGGGATGGGATAACAAGTGTCTATATCAACTACAAAAGCTGAAATGAAGAATACATGCATGTATGGATCAATAAATCAGATGAACACACACGTTAAAGTTGGATAGTGACATTTAATGCAATGATGGTTGTAAAAGGGCACCTTTGCGTTTCATTGTTACTCACCCGTTTTGTAATAACTTATATGTGATGGTTTCTTAGGCAAAAACAATGTCATCATCTGAAGAATTATTTTAATCGTTCAGATCTAAAAGAGTACATTCTTCTCTCACTCTTTCATTGTTAGCAAATTTATCACCAGTAAAATTGTTTAGGATCACATGTCCTACCTTCATAGTTACCGTAACAAATATGTATTTCTTTGTTTTAATACAAAAAAAATCTACATGTTTACATTCAACTCCCTTCTATAAACACATCATGTGTAAGTCATTATTTTCCATGACCGAGAGTTTACACCTCTAATCACAACCCAATACTCATGAGGGCTTAGGAGGATTATTTTTGTATTTCTTTCCTAGAAAAATTAGTCGCTCGTTTATCGCTCTCATCCGGCCACCTATCGTACTCGACTCTTACCCTCCATTCTCATGAAAACACTCTCCACTTGTTCATGACCCGTCGACCTACTTCTGGCGTTATCCACCAACCACCATGAGTCCACGACCGACGTCTAATGCTGCCTACCAGCCACCAGGCTATTGGTCCTAACTCACAACCGGTGTTTGGGCTTCTGCCTTCTCACATCTGCTCTTACTTCTCACTGGTCACTTACTCAGTTTCCTTAACGCTCTAGGTGTTTTTTTATCAGTTACTTATCTAAGACCCTAGTTATATTATTTATTGATTTGCTTGTTTTCTTTGATTCTTGAATCTTGATGTTTTGATTGACGTTTATTTGTTGAATGTTTATATTTAACTATTTAAATGATTTCCTTAAACCTATTTAATATCCTTTGGTTATTTTGGACTTTGGTTATATGTTGATTGCCTAAGTATGTTATTTGTTTATTTCTTGATTTGGTAATGATGCAAAAGATATGTGATTTTAGAACGTGGATTTGTTTTTTCTTCATTTGTGAGTTAAGGACTCTTAGCTTTGCAAGAGACCGAGATTAAGGAGGGAGGTTTTCGTACTTTCTCTGCTTGCATATTTGCAAGGATGGCATGAACCATGACCTTTGGTCATATAATAATTACTAGAAGGGTACTCGCGTAATGCAGCGAGATACATCTTGATTTTAATATTTCATTTTATTCTTTATCTCAGTCGATGTTATAGTATGTTCTTATGTAATTTTGAAAAAATGATAATGTTTTTATTTTTGAATAAAATATAAATTTGAAAACATCATAAAAAAATGACAAAAATATGTTGATATTAGTATCAAATTAACTATTTAAATTTCTATTTCTTGTGTAACTATTTAATTCATTTTTAATTATAATTTAATTTAGGTTCAATAACGAAGTAATTTATATTTTATTTAATAATATAATTTTCTTATAAAAATAATAATTAATTATTTTGTTAAAACTCGCTAATTATCCTAATTATATTTTAGATTTTAAAATAAGATGTTTATTCTCTATTTGGTTATTTTTATCTGTAGTTAGTTACACGAATTCAAACATGAAGATTTAATAAGTTGTACTTATGCATAATTCACTTGTAATATTAATTTTTAAGTAATATGCATCAATATACAGTACTTCATGCAAAAAAAATGGTTTTTAAGAGTTTTTGTCAAATGCTTTATATATCAATATTTGTATCAAATTAACTATTTAAAATTTTTATTTCTTATGTAATTATTTAATTTATTTTTTATTATAATTTAATTTAGGTTTAATAACAAAGTAATTTATATTTTGTTTAATAATATAATTTTTTATAAAGATAATAATTAATTATTTTGTTAGAACTCTATAATTATCCTAATTATATTTTAGATTTTTTATATTTTAAATGAGATGTTTATCTTCTATTTGGTTATTTTTATCCGCAGTTAGTTACATGAATTCAAACATGAAGCTTTAATAAGTTGTACATATGCATAATTCACTTTATAATTTTGAATTTTAAGTAATATGCATCAATATACAATAATTCATGTATGAAAAATGGTTTTTAAAAGTTTTTGTTAAATGCTTTATAATATAGTATAGATGCAAGCTGCTTAAATTCTCGTAAAAAAATTTGCATTTCCATTTTACCTCATATTTACTATTTGTTGCTTCAAAAATTTCTTGCTTACCATCATTCATATGTTTTGATCTTCGGGGTTTATTACCTTTTGTTTTTCTTTTATCCTCCTGGTTTTTTCTGGTAAAGGATGGGTGGTACTGTGTTGGTGTTCGACAATGCTTACACCTAAATTTAGTTGTTAAATTCAAATGAGACGATTAATAAACCTGTTAAAAGATTCGTGGTTCGATAAAAAAAATACGTTAGTCATTTTTTTTATCATTTCCCGATAAAAAAAAGCTCACTTTAGATCTATAATATCCTAATGTTTACTAATAAATCGTTTTGATTGAAATGGTAAACTACGCGTTATGCTCGTGTCAATTTTAAGAATTTAAAAGAGTTGTAGAATTTTTTGTTTATATCATTCCGTTGTAATTTTATTTTTCAATAAACTCAGCAGCATGATGAGCCGTCTACCTTTACTAAGTTTTAATTTTTCAAAGATCAATAAAGTTTTACCCGATAAGTGGCAGCGACGACTCTTATACAGAACGCACCGGGTAAATTAATTCATATGATGTCATTTTTATTGTTTAACAGTTGATGCATGATTTTAGTGTTTAATAATTAAGTGGTTAGAATAATCAAGAAATTTTTATAATATAATATAAAATAAAATATAATTATTTAATAATTGTTTATGATGAAATTAGACGAAAAAGTGTTACAAAAATGTGGTGAATAAAGTATGCAAGTAAGGTACAAGTGTTAACGATATTTTTAGATGCATAAAAAGTTGTACAGTACAAGACAGCGGTGCAATGTCGACCACATTTTCCTTCGCTAGGAAGCAACGCACAGACACGTGTACGCGTCAGATTAAAGCAATATGGATTTCTTTATAATAAACACGCCAACATAAAACCGCAACCCCCGATGCGATACTTCTCAGTTACACAAATAAAACATCCAAATCGTATCAGAATCAAATCAACCTATCCACTTTCCTCCTCTTTCAATTTTTGGATCGTTTCCGATATCTCAATCGATCAATTTTCGGTTAATCGAAAAACAATCTCCGATCGTCTTCATCAGTAGCCATGGGCGGCTCTCATAGTCGTGAAGGCCTTGATCTCTCTGATTCCGATGATTACAAAGACGATGACGAACAATCATCAGAAGGAGAAGACGAATATGAAGATGCGGAAGCGGAACATAAAACAGCTCCTGTCAAATCCGTGGACGATATCGATGCCAAGCTCAAGGCGCTTAAGCTGAAATACTCTTCTCTACAAAACCCTAATTTGAAGAACGCAGTGAAGCTGTACCTTCATGTCGGTGGTAATACTCCTAAAGCTAAGTGGATCGTTTCTGAAAAAATTACTAGTTACAAGTTTGTTAAGGTTAGTAAAATTGAAGATGCTGATGATGAGTTTGATGATGACGAGAGTAGTGGGGGTTTTTGGATTTTGAAAGTAGGGTCTAAGATCAGAGCTAGGGTGTCAACTGATCTGCAATTGAAAATGTTTGGAGATCAGCGTCGTGTTGATTTCGTTGATAGTGGAGTGTGGGCGTTGAAGTTTATGCGAGATGAGGATTACCGTGAGTTTGTGACTAGGTTTCAGAGTTGTTTGTTTGAGAATGTGTATGGTTTGAAGGCTAGTGATGAGAATAAGGTGAAGGTTTACGGAAAGGATTTTATTGGCTGGGTGAAACCGGATGTTGCAGATGATTCCATGTGGGAGAAGGATGATGATGAGTTATGGAGGAGTCCAAGTAAGATGACTCCGGTGAGGGGTAGTAACGATTTGTTGGAGGAGTTCGAGGAGGCAGCCTCTGATGGTGGGATACAGAGTGTGGCGTTAGGGGCACTGGATAATAGTTTCTTGGTGAATGATTCAGGTGTGCAGGTTGTGAAGAATTTTAGCCATGGGATTCATGGAAAAGGGGTTTATGTTAAGTTTGATAACGGGGGTAAGAGGGTTGGTGGTTCCAGTAGTGGCGGATATTCGAATCTAACCCCTCAGAAGGCTCTATTGATGAGGGGTGAGACCAATATGTTGCTTATGAGTCCGGCAAAAGCTGGAAAGCCTCATTCTACTGGGGTGAACCAATTGGATATAGAAACCGGAAAGATTGTGACTGAATGGAAGTTTGAAAAGGATGGAACTGATATTACGATGAGGGACATCACCAACGATACAAAGGGCTCACAATTGGATCCTTCTGAATCCACTTTTCTGGGTTTGGATGATAATAGGTTGTCTCAGTGGGATATGAGAGATAGGAGAGGGATGGTTCAGAACATCGCACATTCTGATTCTCCAGTTTTACATTGGACCCAAGGGCATCAGTTCTCTAGGGGTACAAATTTCCAAAGCTTTGCTACTACTGGTGATGGTTCAATTGTTGTTGGCTCCCTAGATGGGAAAATCCGGTTGTACTCGACCACTTCCATGAGGATGGCTAAGACTGCTTTCCCTGGGCTTGGTTCGCCAATCACTCATGTGGATGTCACCTATGATGGTAAATGGATATTGGGCACCACTGACACCTATCTGATTCTAATCTGTACTCTGTTCACTGATAAAGATGGGAAGACTAAGACAGGGTTTAGTGGTCGAATGGGCAACAAAATTCCAGCTCCAAGATTATTGAAGTTGACTCCGGTGGATTCACATACAGCTGGGGTGAACAATAAGTTCCATGGTGGCCGATTTTCATGGGTAAGATTCCTTTCCTGTTCTTCCGTAATTATTCCATTATGACTGCAGGTTAAATGTGTTTATAAACTCTCGTAGATTTGTGGTCATCACATAAGGATCAAGTGTGGTATTTGGACCGAGTAGATGATATCTGTGACTAATGAATTTATGTTTCAGGTGACGGAAAGTGGGAAGCAAGAGCGTCACTTGGTGGCAACGGTGGGGAAGTTCAGCGTCATCTGGGACTTCCAACGAGTGAAGAACAGTGGACATGAATGCTACAGGAATCAAGAAGGGCTGAAGAGCTGTTACTGTTATAAGCTAATGACAAAGGATGAATCAATCATAGAAAGTTTGTTTATGAATGACAAATATGCAGCAGTTGGTGACTCCCCAGAAGCACCATTGGTGATGGCAACTCCAAAGAAAATTACTTCCTTCAGCATGTCGGATGGAAAAGCTAAAGGAAAACGTCGATAAGTAGCTACAGTTCTTTCGTGTAAATAATAAAGTCAGATGGTGAGATGTAAAGTCATATATGTTTCGTGTTGATCATCTTTTTCTGTTTTTTTAGTTATGGAGATTTGCTTTTGCAATTGGAACCATGTTTGTGCAGTTGTTAAGACTTGAAGGAATTGATTTGAACTGTGAAGTGTTGAATGGAGTGTTGAATGGTTAATGGTGATTAAAAATATAAAATTATTCAGAGTGTTTTAGAAATATTAATAGATAGTTGTTTTTTTTTTTTTTAAACAAGATTTATTTTTTAATGATTTAGAGGCTGAAGCATTAAAAGTGAAACAAATAACCACTTATAGATTAATTTATAAAAATAATTAAATAACATTTCTTTTGTTTTGAACCAATACAAGTTTGACCAATAAGAAAGTCAAAACAATCCATTTTTACACAAGCATGGAAGTAGCATGTCAACGGTCAACCATCCATCTCTCCCTCCATCCCGCCTTTGAATCCAAGAAGATGATGAAGAAGAAGAATTCATGAACAAATTCAACCTTTCCCGCCATGTCCATCCCCTTCTTCCTCCTATGGCTTCTTAGCAGTCCCCTCTTCTCCCTTGCCGCCCCTTCCCCTCGCGGTTACTTCATCAATTGCGGTTCTAAAACCGACATTCAACAAGATGGCATTACATTCTTAAGGGACGAAGGCTACGCTCTCGCCGGAAACCTAATTACCTTAAACCGGACCGATATTCTCTCCCTACTCACCACCCTCCGCTACTTCCCCCACGGCCCTGGCAAATACTGTTACGAGTTCCCCGTTACCAAAGGCCGGAAGCTCCTCATCCGTACCACCTACTTCTACGGTGGATTTGATGGCGGCATTGATCCACCGATTTTTGATCAGATTATTGATGGTACTAACTGGAGCGTTGTTAATACCACCGAAGATTACAAAAACGGACTCAGCTCCTATTACGAGATAATTGTGATTGCAATTGGCAAAACGATTAGCGTGTGTTTGGCGTCCAATGAGCACACCAAGGCTCCGGCGAGTCCTTTTATTTCATCGTTAGAGTTGATGAATCTCGATCCATCATTGTATAATTCCACCGACTTCGGAAAGTATGGATTGATTACTGTGGCTAGGTCTAACTTCGCCTCCGACGGTGATTTTCTACGGTATGAAACAGATTCAAACCTGTGCTCTTTTGTTGAATAGATTGAACCCTAGATCGATCAAATTCTGACGGACGAATACATATGAACTAGTTTTCCAGATGATCCATTCAATCGATATTGGCAACCGTTCATCGATGGAAACCCTACGGTAGAAGCACACGCGAATGTAACAACGTCGGGATTTTGGAACCAGCCACCGGCAAAGATATTCCTCTCGGGATCAACGACGAGCAGAGGGAAGAATCTCACGTTACAATGGCCGCCGTTTTCTCTGCCGAGCAACCGATACTACGTCGCTTTATACTTCCAAGACAGTCGAACTACAAGCCCTTATAGTTGGAGAGTATTCACCATTCTCATCGACGGTGAAACCTTCTATCAGGATCTCAATGTTACCACGAAAGGTGTTACAGTTTACGGCACAGAATGGCCGCTCTCCGGCGACATAGAGGTCACTCTGACTCCGAGAAGTGACATGCCGGTTGGCCCTTTGATTAACGCCGGCGAGATATATCAAATCTTGCCTCTTTCTGGAACAACTCTGGCCAGAGATGGTATCATGGTGATTTTAGATTCTCTTAAATTTTGCAACTTATAAACTGTTTGTTGAATTTTCTTGATTTTTAACAAGAAGAAATCATCAATTACATTCTTCAAATACAAATTCGTTTATAGATTCTGTTTCTTTGTAGCAATGGCATTGCAAATATTCAAGCAGAGCTTAAGAAACCCACCGGATGATTGGAATGGAGATCCATGCTTGCCTATAGCACATCCCTGGTCTGGAATCCGCTGTTCGCAGGTGAATCCAGTTCGAGTTATCAGTTTGTAAGTGATGAAACAAACCGTAAGTCGTTAAATCGTGTGTTATCAATGTTAGATTATGTTTTTGTTGTGCATAAAGATTTATAGTTTGTGTTTTTAGGAACCTAACTGGGCTTTCGCTAAGAGGAATATTACCTAAAGAAATTGCTAGATTAACTGCTTTAAAAGAACTGTGAGTAGTCTATATGATCAAATAATTCCATCCATTTTGAACATAAGACAGAGCAAAATCTATATTGGGTTCACATGAGACAAACATATTTTCGTGAACCTTCACAAAAGGACATTGTGAATGTACAAAAAACGGCGAACCTTCACAGCAAAGCACTGTGAAGGTAAACAGTGTTTTTGCTGTGAAGGTTCAATGTTTTTTTTTTCTGGTCTCAAGAAAACAGGCTGGTCTCACATGATTTCAAGTCTGTCTCTCTATATTTATATAACCATTTGCTACAATTTACATATGCAGTCGGCTAAGCATGAACAAGCTTACGGGTCCTATCCCTGATTTGAGTCCAATGAAGGTTTTGGAAATTTTGTAAGTTGTTCCACATGATTATCTTTTTTCTTCGTTCTACATTTGATTTTATGTAATGTTTCTAAACGTTCTCATTTCCGAAACGAATGGAAAAGGCATCTAGACAAAAATGAGTTCGAGGGGCCGTTCCCAGATTTGCAAGACACGTTTCCGAAACTTCGTGAATTGTAAGTTGTATTGTTATTTTCAAAACCTTTTAGGAGCTATATGCTAAAAAATTGGTAAAGATGCTATGACCAAGTCAGTCAGTCGCTCCACTCTTACCGGGTCAGCAACACTTGTTAGAAAGTCTTGGTAAAATGATAAAACAACATGGTCTCTTAGAATTTGAACATGGGTTTCTTGATTACTATATACTTTTTTTCTGTATGTAACAGATTTTTAAATAATAACAAATTGAGCGGAAGAGTTCCCCAAAGCATAACGGATAGAAAAAATGTATTTACACGGTAAGAGAAGTTAAAAGATGTTTTTAATGAAAGACAGTGTTTTGTTAGTTTATTGATTCATAACGTTTCTTCTTTAGAATGTAGCATTCATTGGTTGGCAAACTTACTCAGGAGACGGGATTCGGCTGACGGGGTATGATTGCTTGCCATGAGAAGAATTGTAGAGAGAAAAATAGCTGGTTAGTTAGTTAGTTTGTTTAATTAGTTAAATCAGCCTAGTTAGGGGACGTTTACCAAATGCTTACCAAGGTAAGTGCTTACCAAATCACATTACATTAACGAATGACTATGATAAGAAACAAGAATCTTACCCGGTAAGAGCGAGACAAGAACCAAGAGTCTTACCCGGTAAGTGAGGGCAACGACTCTTACCATAGTAAGTGCTTACCGGGTAAATTGTTGCATACGATGTCGTTTTGATGGACTAAATCTTACTCGGTAAGTAAATGATAGTGTTAATTTTGCCGGTAAGCGCTTACCGAGTAAAGTGTTTGGTAAACGTCCCCTTAGTCTTTCTTGTATAATTTTGCTGGTAAGCGCTTATCGAGTAATGCATTCTTCTTCGATTCTCTTCATTGTGAAACGATGATTAGAACGGTCTTGCTCGCTCCCACATAGGTTTTAGATTTGGATCAGTTGCAACGTCTCTTACGAGACTTTAGAGCAAGTTGTGATTCTCCTACCTTGATTTTCCCGGCTATTTAATTTTCTTCTAGTGTAACGTTTTTTGAACATACTAAGCACATTAAACTTGATTGTGGCTTTCTTTGGAGAAAGTCAATGACGAAACCTTAAAGCTCGTGTTGATTTATTACTACTCGTTAATTTTCAATTGGTGGACATGCTCAGCAAAGGTATTGTTTATTAGCAGCTTAACGAGACTCACAACTTATTCAGTTTGATAGTGGCTTCATGATATAAAAAGTCGTTTATTCAATAAGCTTTTATGGAAGCTTTATGCAAAAAGTAAAGTTTGTTTTTTAAAATCTGTCTCTCCCAATTAAAAAAACACATTCCTTTCATTTATGAAAAATAACTATTCTAAACAAGAATCTTATCAATCTTTACAAACATACTAATCTACTCAAACAACATTATTCATTCATCACTTATGAAAAATCAACCAAACTGCCCCAAGTCATTGCTCACCTCCAAATTGTCACCTATTATCTCCAAGATGGCTCTCAAAGATACACTCGACCAAAAATCTCGAGGCCGGGGGAGTTTTGGATACTTTAACTAGTTAAACTATAGCCGGTTAACAATTTGATAATCTACGCTTTAGTAACATGTGTATCCAGTTAAATAGTTGCGCCAGTTAAATTAGTCTACTATTTCTATATAATATAAATGGGAGATTAATGTATTGTCTATTAATTCTTGAGAAAATAAATGAATTTGCTTAAACATTTTCTAACAAATCTATTCTACACTACGATGTACTGCTATGATGTTGTTGTAACTATCTTTTTAAAGCAAATAGTTGCGTTTGGTGAACTACCAGTGCTTAATGCAATAACGGGTGAGTAGACGTGTTCCAATTGTAATAATTGAAAATCTGGACAACCAAATTCAAATAACCCTCAGAGGAATACAATCCTAGGCAAATATAACGACCACCACTTAAACTATACAAAAACTATTAACCATCAGGAACAAAATGAATATCTAAAAGCAATTAAATATATCAAACGTCCACCGACACTAAAACATACATATCTTTTTTTCGAACCAGTCCTCATAAAATTCAGTTTAGATCCTTAACTTGAACCCAAAACACTACAAAACAAAGCGACTTCACTGACAGAAACTGAGAAAAGGGATCAACCCTAATAATACAAGAGGTTTTTGGTTGGATTATTTTAGATGCTATTAGTTTTTATTTTATATTGTGTTAATATTTTTATAACTACATTTATATACATATAAAAAAAATTCACATATGAAGATTATAAAATAAAATAAAAACCATGTGAAAATGTCATTACTTCACTTTTTGTTTTGGCATGTGCAATTTATGATGAGAATTATGATGATTTCATGGTAGTCGAGTCAAACATATTGTCGTGACCAAGTTTGAATGGGGTCCTCTTCAGTAATGTCATAATAATAGCACTTAAATATGTACGACGACATCATATTCACAAACTCCTGATTTATGTATCTCAAATGTCATTCATATGTGAATATGAACCACAACAAACTCTCTAAAACTAACTACTCTCCATAATGTCTCATGAATCAAGTCTTCAACTATTTCTGTATTTTTCTTTTGCATTATGTTATTAATACAACGACAACGACCAACGTTAATATTGTATTTATTTTTATAGTCGGGTTGATATCTTCGAGTTTAACTTTTCTGTCCTTTTTTCCGTCAGCTTTTTCTCCTTTCATTTCACAGCTTTTTCTTTTCGCTGAATTTATTCTCATGTGTTTGCAATATCTTCGGCACTTGTTTACGTTATTTTGTATATATATGGAGAAATATAAGCGAGAATCTTAAAACTGTTGAGAATATGTGAAAACCAATCTCAGTATATTGTTTCACATATATTGTTTCGGATATGAACGAAACATGATTTATTACTTTTCACAATTCTCAATAGTCAATATTGTTAAAAAAATTATTTAATTATGCCCATGTACATGGAGGAAATTTTAAATTGCAAACCTATCTTCGTTGTGAACTGGAGGACAAACAATAGCGCGACAGTATCCTTGTTTTTTTTTTTTTTCATTTATCATGAATAATGAACATGCATTTTTACACCATTCATGATAAATGATACACTACTCATGATGAATATCCCACGAATGTATGAGGCATGTGGTGTGATTTGTTTGTCCTTGGGTTCACAACGGTAGGTTTGCAACTGAATCTGTCTATATATATATATATATATATATATATATATATATATATATAGGTCCATTCAAGAAAGAACTGATTAGTTTGTGGTAACCGTGAGATCCAATCTCAACCATAAATCAATGATTAAATTAGAAAATTAATAATTTTGGTAATTTTAAATTAAAATATTAATTGAGGGCATTTTAGTCATTCTAGATTTTTTTTCTCTCTCCTCCCTCCTCTCTTCTCTCTCCTCCCTCCTCTTCTCTCTCCTCTCTCCTCTCAACTATCTCCGTCAAACGCCTCCTCTCTCCTCTCAACCATCTCCGTCAAACGCCTCATGTTTCCAACGAACACCATATCAACACATGATGCACACTGTGATATGCTTCATAAAATAACGAAAAAACATAGTGTGATACACTTGGTAAAGAAAACATTACCTGATATATTGTGTTGCACTTCTTAAAACAACAAAAATATATTGTGATACATTTCGTATAACGACAAAAATTAATACATTGTAATACACATTATGATACCAGATATGGTTGATGAATACAACTATGATAATTAAGGTAATACAATTAATATAATAAAATGACTCAATTGATTAGGCCTATATATATATATATATATATATATATATATATATATATATATATATATATATATATATAGGCCTAATCAAATGAGAACTAATTAGTTTGTGGTAACTGTGAGAACCAATATTAACCACAAATTAATAGATAAATTAGGAAATTTATAATTTTGGCAATTTTGAATTAAAATATTAATGCAAGGATATTTTTGGTATTTTAAAACTTTCCTCCCTCCTCTCTTCTCTCTCTGGCCACCGTCCGCCGGCCACCGTCCTCCGGTGATACTACAATGGTATCACAATGCATCATATATGTGCTTGGGTATCACATTGATGTCGTTTGTGTGGTCGATCGAAGATGTAACACAGTGGTATCACTATGCATCTTATATATGATTAAGTATCACAATGTATCTTTTGTTTAACAGAGTCAATATTTTTAGGTATTACGGTGGTATCACCGGAGGACGGTGGCCGGAGGCCGGAGAACGGTGGCCGGAGAGAGAAGAGAGGAGAGAGGAGAGTTTTAAAATACCAAAAATATCTTTGCATTAAAATTTTAATTTAAAATTACCAAATTTATAAATTTTCTAATTTATCTATTGATTTGTGGTTAATATTGGTTCTCACAGTTACCACAAACAACTCAGTTCTCCCTTAAATAGGCCTATATATATATTTATATATATATATATATATATATATATATAATGGATTTCAAATACAAACGAATCAATTTAAACAAACTATGCAAACTCCTATCTACCAATCATAATAAAGCATTTGAATTGAATTTATTTTAT